TGCCTTCTAATCACATCGAGACTTCCCAGAAACAGGAAGTATGAAATAATGTCATACTTTATTGGAGAGCCATAAAAGTAATTACTAATTTAATTACTATTTTCATCTATTTCTGTTTTGCTCTATGAGAATTCACTAGTTTAGGTGTCTAGTTTGTACCTTGAATATCTGTAAGTTGTACAAGTCTTTCAGTTAAAAATTAGACCTATGAAAGGTAGAGAAAGGCATATAGTAACTAAGTTTATAGGAATTAGACACTTACATTTGTTAAAACCTGATATAGTTTTCTCTTAATATTTTAAAATCAATTTTTGAGGCATAATTTCATCCAAATTCGATTTACTGAAATTTAAATGCTAAATTGAAATATTTTTTCTGATACTTTTACTAATTATGCGGTATCTAGAGTAGCATCATGGAGTCCGGCTCCCATAAATAATACCGAAAAGGCATGATGGAAGGAAACGGGTACACTAAGTGAAGACATACTGAAGACCATGCAAAGGTGATGCAGCTTTTCCATAGGAATAATTTGCATGAAATTTTCAGTTTTCCTTTGTTTTTCCTTTTTTTCTTTTTTCCCATTTTCAGATCCAGTTATGGGACACTGCGGGACAAGAACGATTCAGAAAGAGCATGGTACAGCACTACTACAGAAATGTACATGCTGTGGTCTTCGTGTATGACATGACCAACATGGCTAGTTTTCACAGCCTGCCATCTTGGATAGAAGAATGTAAACAACATTTGCTAGCCAATGATATACCACGGATTCTCGTAGGAAATAAATGTGACTTAAGAAGTGCCATTCAGGTACCTACAGACTTGGCACAAAAATTTGCTGACACACACAGTATGCCTTTGTTTGAAACCTCTGCTAAAAACCCCAATGATAACGACCATGTGGAAGCTATATTTATGACCTTGGCTCATAAACTTAAGAGCCACAAACCATTAATGCTTAGTCAACCCCCCGATAATGGAGTTATCCTGAGGCCTGAACCAAAGCCTGCAATGACGTGCTGGTGCTAAATAACAGTCTTTACCATGCTGTTTAATTTTGACTAAAGAAATACTTTTGAAGTATGACAGTGATAGTCATAAAAGTTAATCTCAAATATAATGGGTCATCCTGACACTTTACCATTTATCATCGTCATGCTTACTTTTGTATTTTGTATCTACTTAATTGAGTTTGTCCCTGTGACAACACAAGGGAAAAGTTGGTTTTCAGGTGAGGTTAAAAATGAAGCAAAGGTAGGATGAGTCAGAACATGTTTCCATTGAGAACCCGGTGAAGGGGGCTTGAGATGAGAGCATGATAGAGTTCCAAGAGTCAATGACTGCTCGATCCTGTGTTCCTGTGATTGCAAAAAAATACCGAAGGTTTAGTACACACTTAATGGTATGTCCTTTGAATGAGAAGTGTTTCTCAGTAGGATAAAAACTAGTATTTGCCTCTCCCTAGAGTTTTTTCTCTGTATTATTAATGGATTTCATGACATTATTATTGGTACATTTTAGAGCCAAGACTGGAGTTCCAGTGGGAAGAGTAGGCATAGAATGTTTTCTGGTTCTCAAGTTCATAAAGAATGACTTTCCAAACAGTTCTGGATGCTTGATGTTTTTAATCAATATCAACGAGGTCTACAGAAATTGTTATTTTTAAAAGAGTAATTTGAATTGTTTTCTTATTAAATTATATTAGAATATGCAAGAGTCAAATTTTAATATGAATGAAATGACATTAAGGTGCTTTATATTTTATTATGATATCTTTAAATGGCGAAAAACAAATTGAGAGCAGGTGAGGAGTTGTAACTTGGGAGAAAATAGGTAAATATGGTTTCTGGCTACCACAGGAGACCTATTCTTAGCTTTTATGATTTCTGGATGTGGATCTGGCATAGTCTCTCTTGCTCTCCTCCACCCCCTATCAACTTAATAAGTAAAGGCTGAATTAACAAGTCATCCACTTGGATTGTAGTACCGAGGGCATACCTCTAATTGCTATGAGTCTACATGTATTTCTGTAATAGTATTGTGTTACAGTACAAAAATCTTTAAACTTTAGGGCCATGACATGAAATTCCTCCTCAATTTGAAAAACAAATTAGATACTGAAAAATATTTTGTCTATCTCTAGGTAGTAGAATATTTCAAAATGTTTTTTACCCTAGATACTTTTATTTTGCATTTAAGACTTTGCACATAGAAAATGGTAAGCTTGCCTATGAAGCTCTTACAGGAATGGAATGTAAGCCATGAACTTTAACGGAAGTGTACACGTTGACTAATTCTGATAGATTGCTGTCCTTGATAATTTTAGAGGAAATTAAGACAAATCATCATTGTACTTACGTATTTTCAGACTGTGGGAAACCAATTAAATGTATATCAATCTAGTTTAGAATTTTTGTTTTATCATCATGGTGGTCCTAACTGGGTAATTTAATTATAAAAATGAGATTAGGTAAGTGAACTAACTGAAAGTAATAATTATAGGAAGTAATTATTCAGTTTTACATGTTAGAGATTAAGGGAAAACAAGTTGGCTTTATTTGTGTTTAGGGAGATTAATCCACTTTTCTTATGCTAGAATTAAAAATGATTTGACATAATGTTGATTTGTAACTTTTTATAGTAAAACAGTGACAGCTGTAATCATGTGATGGGCATAACAGTTTTTTAAAGAAGGGAACCTGTTTATTGCTTTTCAAAACATTTCCTAAAGTAAGGGAAGAAAGTTTACAGACTTTCCAAGCACATTTATGTTTTTTCAGTGCTATTATTAATGATTTTTTTTAAGGAATTTAACTTTCTTTTTGTAAGAAGTTAAGTCCTTTACAGTTCTGTGAAAGGACTTATTTTTTTCACTTTAATATTTATTAATTTAAAAATATTTGTATCTCATTTGTAATAATTTGTTTTAATATTTTTCTATGTGTGTTTTTATTTTTAAAAAGAACATACATATTAGTTGAATAGGGATAAAGCTTTTAAATATTTTCTAAAATATTTATAAAAACAATTCATTGACTGTTGAGAGAAGTCACTTCCAAAATGGTGGCTATCAAACAATTATTAATTTTTAAAGCACAGATCACATATTTCATAACTCCCGTGTGAATTTATTTTAACTGTGACCTTTAATTAAAAATATCAGATATGTTTTGGGGAAGTCTTAATTTGAGAACACCAAAGGAAGCTAATCCAGAATCTAATGTAGTTAGCTATTAATGATGATGCTTTATTGACAGTATACTGCTAATATGTTTCCTCTTGAAATCTAAACTAAAGTTAAATAATTTTGTGGTGGAATAGTGTCACTGTAACATTTCCCTCACGAAGTTCAATAAACCAGCTTTGCCATTAAGAAATTGTTTTTCAATTGGTGCCATCTGGATGATTCACTGGGTAGCTCGTGGCAGAGTAATTAAAAGACTTTTCGAATTGAGAGATATGCTACGCACTTTTCTTTTACATGGCGACATCATTCTCATTATTGAACATTTCTGTGACACGTGTCTGGGATGAATTTCATACTAAGGAATATGCTACCTTAAAGAGTTTTTAGGAAAACAAACACATCTATCTCTTCCTGGTAGGTGTTGGAAATGTTTCTATCTGATGGGCTTTGTTCCTAAAGTCTGTGTCACCTATAAAAATGCTCCTATCTAAGCATTTAAAAGTTAGAATTTTCCATTCCGTTTAAAACTTCTCCGAACTAAGACTTAGTTTTTGGATCCATTAGTTAAAATGTAAATGCAACATGCAGTTTGCAAGAATGAATTGGGGAGATGGAAATCTAGCAAATGAATCCCAGTAAAAACGTTTGTGGAGCGGGTGGGTGGAACTGAGAGACTCAGCTCCAGGATTAATAAGCCTGGGTGATGATGTTTTTCTTCTGTTTGGACTCAAGGATCTTTGTGAGGTCTTTTTTCTTTTTAACTTTGACAGTCATTAAATGCAAGTATCAACATAACTGGATTTAGAAACATCATGAAGTGTTAAATCAAGATTTTCAAAGTAATGAAGTGTATTTAATCTCACCATTTCACTCCATTCCTCCCTAGAATATTACAGTGGGAGGAGGAGGAACTGCTTGCATTAATGAGGCTTCTAGAAGGCTTGATTACATATAATGGTCTCCTCATCTTCACAGTCAGTCTCTAGTATTTACATGTCATTTGTCTCCTCCACAGTTACCCTCTTTCCCAAAGTGTTCGCCATTTGACAGTCATATCTTTAAGTGACTCCTCTCCATTTTTCAATAATTTGGCTCCAGGAGGTTTCAAGAGGAAAAATTTCCTGATGCGATGGTTGAGTCATGCTTCGTGAAAATGAGCAATTCATGCCCAGCACGATGCTACAGCAATATTGCATTCAGACTGCCGAGAACATGTGTCTTCTGGGAGTTTTGTTACATGAAAGTAAAAATGAAGTCACCGCTTTTAACTCCTTTGCTAAGCTTAAAAAAACAAGGCGGCAATTCTTAATTTTAAAAAGATAATGAACTTAATGAAATCCTCATCTTTTTCTCTTGTATCATGATGGCAAGCACGGTCCAGTTCTACCAGCCAAATCTCGGCAAGACCTCTATAAGCCATGTTTCATCTCTTTAAGCCTCAGTTTCCTCATCTGCAAAATGGGACCAATAACAATACCTGCCCCTGTTTATACCTTAAGATAGTTATTATTAGATTGACTTATACAAACGAAATCCTCTTAGAAGCATAAAGAACTTCGACTGACAAGGTTGTTTCTAATACAACCTCTGCTTTCTATTGTATTTTGTCTTATGGGAGCCATCATCCTGAAACTTCCTACAGCCAGAATCTTTTTTGGTCTTATGAATTGAAAAATTAGATACTCCCGCTTTCAGCTACAGCAGAAACAAAATGAACAAAAAGCACTGAAAAGTACAAAAGAGACCTGAAAAAAAAATTAAAAAAAAGGATTGACCCTGAAATATGAAAGTAAAAATTAAGAAACAATGAAGTGTCTGCAAACTAAAAGTTACGCTGACACCAACTGCTAAAATGTTAATATTCATAAACACTACATTTAAAATCAATTAGTAGGTTAGATTACTTCCCTTCAAAAGGACCATGTACCATGCTTGCTAGGAAACAGATCACAAAGTAAATGCTTTACTTGTAGCTAAATCATGAAATAATATTTTTCAGAAAAATAGTACTGTGAGTGCATTTTAATATGTTTGCTATGATGTGGGGTGAGCCCTCCAAAAGAGAATGCTTGGAAATTTGAGTACAGACTGGGAGCCACGTGGTATCAGGGAATGACTGTTCATTTTCTTAGTTGTGATGATGGTCTTGGGGTTAAGTGGGAGAATCTTAGGAGATGCATGGAGAAGTATTTAGGGGCGAAGTGTCTGGATGTCAGCAACTTGCTTTCAAAATGTTCTGCGAAGTAATATCAGCTATGTGGTGGGAAGGAGGAGGCCTGGCCTCATTTATCCTGCTCATAGTAGCCTTAGGGATAATACTTCCCACATCTTCGCGGTCAGTATCTTCTATTGAAACGTCATTTGTTTTCTGCACAATTATCCTCTTCTTTCAAGTGTTTCCCACTTGAAAATCGCGTTAGCTGCTTTCAAAAGTTTCTCTGCAGAATGATAATAAATGTATATGCGTGTGTGTTTATGTCTACACACAGTCCTGACTTAGGATTTTTCGACTTTACGATGGTCTGAAAGGGAGATGTAATAATTTACACAAGATATTCAAAATTGTATCATAAAATAGTCTTTGCATTAGATGGTTTTGCGCTAATGTAAGTCTTTGCATTAGCTGTGGGCTAATGTAAGTGTTCTGAGCACGTTTAAGGCAGGCTAGGCTAAGCTATGCTGCTCGGCAGGTTAGGTGCACTAAATATACTTCCACTTACAATATTTTCAACTTATGATGGGTTAAAGGGGATGTAATCCCATTGTAAGTCGAGGAGCATCTGTACATACACACGTATACAGAAAGAATAAATGTGAAATGTTAAGTGCTTTGAGAACCCCACGGAAATGAATCAGAAGAGCTGGTTTGGATGGAGGAGGCCTGTGAAAAGAAAAGGAAAGAGAAATGGGAGTTTAAGTGGACAGCGGGAGCCACGTTGGCCCTGGCATGTGATGCTGAGCTGGCAGGAAGCGGGCAGTTCACCTTGATTGGCAGGGTCACCTTCACTTCTAAATGCCTTTTCCTGAGAGTTCCTGAGATGTCTACAGCTGTGGCGATTCAAATAGCTATTGGGTGATGATGGCTGACAATATTTTCCACTACGTTCCATTTTCAGCCAATCACAATTGCTTTTTTTTTTTTTGTTGCCACATTGGCTCCCCGATTTCCCCTTTCTGGAAGTCGTCCACCCCTCATACGTGTCCTGTGTTAGACGCTTGTTATTCCCACTATGACCTCTTGTTTAGCCTCTCATTTCCTTTGATGAAAAAGTGATGAATAGGAGATAGAGATCCATAGAGAAGACTCATTCATTTATTCAGCAAATATTGAATGAATGCCTTGTATGTTTCAGTCACTATGAGAGAGGCTAAGGATGTAGCAATAAACAAGGCAGACAAAGTCTGTAGCCCAGTGGTGCTCATATAGATTCCAGTGATATAAAAGACAACTACCTCGTAAGTGAATACACAGAATAGCTGGGTTAGGGTGTGGGTTAACAATGAAATGAACCGGGTGACGAGATGGAGGGTGAATGCAGGGGCCTCCTAAGACAGGATGGTTAGAGAAAGCATCTCTAACACAGACCGTGTGAGCCAAAAGCTGACAGCTGAGAGAGCAAGCCGTGCAAAGAGCTGCAGGCGCGCACCGGGCAGAGGAATCAGCAGGTCCTGGACCCAGACAACGCTTGGCACGTTTGAGGAACAGAAGGTCTGGCTGGGCTGCAGCGCGTGGGGGAGAACGTTCTCAGTGGCACTGGAGAGGAAGCGGGAGCCAGCCTACTGTAAACAGCTTGGGTTTTATTCTGACTGCAATGGGAAGCCATCGAAGGGTTTGGGCAGGGCAGTGGCTGATCTGCTTTACTGTTTTCAAGGATCACCCTTGGTTGCTGCGTGCAAAGTGGACGGGAGAGTGACACATGAAGGCAGCTGAGTGTCTGTCTTTCACGTAGCGTTCCCAGCAGCTCCACTCCATCACTGGCCACCCCTTCCCCTGACATCTCATCGGCCAGCACTGGGTCTGGTGGCCAGTCCTAGCTGCAAGGGATTCGTGGAATGTGACTATTTTAGGCACAGGAAGCCAAGGGGAAAAATGGCTTCTGAGTGACTTATGCAGATGACCCTAGGGGCAGACGCTGCCAAGATTCTTAAAACAAACCTATGAACTAGGTGGGGGAATTTTTATTGGACTCATTTATAATGGGGAAACAGTGTTGAAGAGCACAAACTCCCGACGTTTGGCCTCAAATCGAAGGTGCTCTTCTCACGACCTTTCATTATTCTGGACCGTGCTAAAGGATGACCCCAGTCACACGTGTCCTGCTGTGTCTACTGGTGAACCATTCTTCCAACTGCGTGCTCAGCATCCAGTGTACCTGGGCAATTACCACAGCTGAAGGGCACTGGGGGGGTGCCAGGTTTATTGGACCAGACTTAGGAATGGAAAGAAGGCTTTTAAAAATGAAAAGAAAAAGTAGAAAATAGTGTCTTTTATTATACTAAGAAATGTCGTTCCACCAAACAGAATAACAAGAGCATGCACCCCAGAAGATGTGGAAGACAATCCATTGGAGCGGGGGAAGGATTTTAGAATATGATGTAGACACAGATAGAAGTCCAGCATTGCGAATATTTAATACATGCATTCGCATCGGATGTCGGACAGACATATGCCTTTCGCAGCAGAGAGGCTCACAGCAAGCAGCACCTCCACTTGCCATGCACTTTCAGTGGATTGTGACAAGACAGGTTTACAGGTGCCTGGTTAAGTGGATTTACTAGTAATACAATCTTAAATGGTTAACTCTTTATAATTCTTCGTAATGAGATAGGAGTGTCAATGAAATTCTATTTAGAAAAACAATGCTTAATAATTGTTTATGTATCTCTCTCTCTCTCTGTCTATATATATATGTTTTCACATGGTATTGGAGCATGACTATGGTATTATAGATTATACGCAATGAATATTCAACAGATACATTTTTTCAGATTAATGAAACTCTTGCTTGCATTTTTTCTTTGAACCAGTTAGGATGGAATTCTTTCCCAAGTAATTACATACATGCAATGTTTTCTACTATGAAAATTAAGTGACATAGCTAATGGAAAGTACCCAGTACAATGCTTGCTGAATAGTAAACATTCAATAAATTATGCTATTGTTACTCTAGAAGTTCACAGGAAGCGACCACAAGCTGGGTGGGGTGTGTTTATTGACCTTGCTGGTTTCTTCCTAGAGATTACGTCAGGAGACATTCATTATTTTA